CAAAGGAGGAGGGCACCAAGAGCCCATGCTGTGTTTGGGGAGGGGGGACCATGTAGGGCAGGAGCTTGGAGGCTGAACGAGCCCCGAGGTCCCACAGCATCGGCGGTCACGGTGCTGCTGCAGTCCTGCCCGTGGACCTTCCTTCTCCGCTGGGCTGAATTACCCGCTGGGTCTCCTTCCTTCCTGCCCGATCTGCAGAGGCACTGATGGAGAGCACCTCCCTGCGGGCAAAAATTTCCCTTGCCAGGGAAAATTACTCATTTAAATCCTTGGTGAGATGATTGCTCCCCCTGCTCTGCCTACCCTGCATCCCAGTGGGTGTTTCCTGTGGGGAAAGGGGCATTTCAGGACACTGGTGGGTGCTGATGAGGCTCTGGGTGATGCTCTTGCAATCACTGGGGTGGGATCTGTCCTGTCCGCGCAGCCTGGGTGCTGAGGGCATCCCTGCTCCCCTCCTCTTCCTCCCATGTGCCTGGCAGAGGGGGTTTTCCAGGCACTGGTACCCCACAGGCTGCAGAGGCGGTTTGTACCCTGGTGTCTCTCTTTGCTCTTCGCCCCCCAGGTGTCCCAGAGAAAGTTGGCCTCTACTTTCTTTGCGGGGTCTCGGGAGGCCTCATGCTCCTGCTGTGCATCATCAGCCCGAAAACGACGTTCCTCCAGGAGGTGGGGGAGGCTCTCAAAGACCCGGAGCTGGGGAGCGGCTCGGAGCTGAGCAGGACCAAGCTGCAGGACGAGCAGGACGAAGACCTTCCAGATGACAGCTCCTCAGACTCCTCCTTCCGCCGCCTCACCCGCACCTACCGAGCCACCGACAGCATCTTTGGCCCTGAGCTGACAGCAGCCATGGAGGGAGTGGTGGAGCACCAGGGCCACAGCAGGGAGGAGATCTGGATGCCCAAGGAGTCAAGCCCGTATGCCATCCACAAGATCAAATCAGCCACCAAATAAGAACTGGAAGAAAATGGTGGGAAAGCAGCGAGGGGCAGGGGCTAAGTGGGATCTGACATCAGAGAGACACAAGAGTTTGGGCTCCTCAGGGTGCGTGGGCATCCCAAGTGGCAGCAGGGACACAGCCGGGCCAGTATGGCCATCAACCCACTGCTCCACCAGCCTAGAAACCTCTAACCCAGGGGTAAGATGCAGACCATGGGTGTGATGAGGGGATGTGGGACAGCTCATGGGGCCGCTGGCTCCTTTGCCACAAACACGCCCCTAACCCTAAGCTAACCTCCCCATTCTCGGCTCACATCGGTTGGCTCTAGTACTTAACCCTGCTCAGCCACGCCAAGCCCGCTCTGAGCCTTTCCAGGCTATTTGCTCCTTGGGTGATGGCTTCCATCCCTGGTGCTGCAAACGCCACTCAGCACTCAGGCAGCATGCCGGTAGGAGAGGCACAGAAATAGCCAGGACATGGGGAGGATGCAGGCAGAGCGGGTGGGAGATCGCCGCGAGCATCACCCAACACAACCCTACCGCGCTGCATGCATTGCAGACCTGGTATCCCCAGGGGAGCTGCACCCCGGGGCTGGGGCAGCCGGCAGCTTGGCACAGCGCTGGCTCTCACCTCCCCACGGGCATTCAGGAGCTCTGTCACCGTACATTGCTCTGTGCTTTCCCTCATGCTTCCCCCGCTGGCAGGAGAGCCCTGCGGTTAACTTGCTGGGGCTTTTTTCCAGTAAATAAATGCAACAGCTCATAGACGCAATGTCCCTCCCTGACCTCCGCCATTAATAGTGAAAAGGAAGGAAAAAGCAAGCAGCAAAGATCAGCCCTCCCTGTGCAGATCAGCTCCTTGACTCCCACTGGTGTTTCTGGCACTGGGCCATGGGGAGCAACAAGTTGGGCCTGTTTTAGCATGGGAAAGGATAAGGTTTTAGCCTGGGGAAGGGAAAGCGGGGAAAAGCAGTCTGTGTGGATCCCATGGATGCGGCTTCCCTGCCCTTGCTCCTTCTCTTGAGCCGGAGGCTCTCTGTGTGGTAAGCAATCCTGGAGCAAACATCCCCAGACGCCATGCAGAGGGGCTTCTCGGTAGCCCCATGGTGCCAGAGACCCAGGCTGGGTCTGGGGGCTGCTCCAGCTCCAAGAGGCAGCACAGGCTCTGTAGTGCTGTGAGAAGGGGCTGGATGGAAACAGCGACACAGCTCTTCTCACAATAGGGACACACCAGGCACCAACGCTCTTGAGCTCGGACGTAGCGGGGTCTATTTTTCCATCTACTGCCACACATGAAGTGCCTGGGCTGGGTGCAGCAAGAGAGGTCTGTGGGGGACGTCAGTGCACCCCTTAACCCAGATGCTGGCATTGGTGGTCTGCTGGGGGCCAGGGGGGGTACCAGCCCCATCTCTGTGGCCAGAGCCGCGCTGTCCTCGGCAGTGGATGCTCTCCCACTGCGGAGCTGGGTGCCGTGGCAATGCAGCAGCCTTGCGCTCCTGCTCCAATCATGGGGGGCAAGGACTGGTGTCCTGCCTGATTTGGGGGTTTGCTAAGGGATGCTAGAGACCAAGGAGAGTTTGGGGGGGCTCTCACCTCAAACCAGCCCCCAGCATTCTTAGATGACGGGCAGGATTGAGACCACAGACTTGCCTCCATGCTTGGACAGCTGCCACAGCTCCTGCTGTAGACCCATGGCATTCACCTTGCAGGGTCCACTTCTTGCTCGCCCCCATCTTTTTTCCAGTACCTCCTGACAGCCAGTTGGGATTTCAGCATGTGTGGTGCAAGCCACAGCCCCTGCAGTGGGGACAGGCTTCCTGAGAGCCTCCTGAGAAGCACCAGCACAGCAGTGCTGTGGGGACTGGAAAAGCTGGCTTCCCCCGCCAAGTTTGGGCAGGATGGGCAGATGCAGACCCATCCCAAAGCGGGCACCTCGCCCAAGCCCCCGCAAAGCCGCAGGCAGACTTGGATGGGGGTTTTTGGCTGAGGATCTTATCCCATAGGCCAACGCACCATGTTTCTGTCGGTGGTGGGTTGTGTCCCAGCTCTGCCTAGCAAGCATGCACCTGACTCGTATTTTTGGCTGGAGTATGCTCTGCCCTAACATGAACAAGGAGAGGCAGATACCTGGATCCAGCAAGGCCAGCAAACCTCAGAGAGCTTCCAGGCCAGGGCTGGCAGCAGCAGCACCAGAGGAGTTGGGGCTGGAGAGGTCAAGTGGCCGAGGAGGAAACAAGATGAGCTGAAGCCGCAGCAGCCCTGACCCGTTTGGGGGACTGAAGGTACACAAGATCTGTGAGACCAGGTTTAAATCCCTGCCGGCCCTGCGAGCACCCCTCAGTCATGCTGCACCCCAAAGCTATTCTGCTGCTCCTGGCTGTCAATGGCCCCATGTCTTTCTGCTAGAGACATGGCAGAGATGCTGGTACGTGGCCCAAGCTGCCCTGCCTGTCAGCAAGGAGAAAGGACTGATCCTGCCCGCATGGACCCAGGGCAGCTAGTGTAAGTCCCCTTGGATGCTGGCAACAGGATGTTTCCCTAGCAAGGGGTTTATCAGCTCCACCAGCAACAGCGGCATGTGGGTACAAGATTACTCCAAAGAATTTCCTTGGGTTAAATTTAGGAATCTGGAAGGTTTTGCTGGGAATCTGCCACCTGGGGGAAGCTCTCCTCTGCCACACTGCTGAGCTCTGTTGAGCTTATCATGAATGGGGGGTTTCCTTTGAGCCTGAAGCCAGGGGCACAGTGCTAAAACCCCCCAAGAGCTGGAGAGGGGAAGAGACCTTTGCATGACGGGTGACAAATGTGCCACCTGCCACCCAAGTCCCCAAGGAAATTGGGATCAGGTCAGAGCATCCCCAAAGCCTCTGAGACCACAGGAGCAGCTCGGTGCGTGGGCAGGTCAGGGGCTGTCCAGTGACAACCACCCCGCACAAGCAGAGCCACCTTTTGTTCCCACGGCCCAGCTCAGCATCCCCCAGTTGAGTTCAGGCAATGGGATGGGGTGGGTGCCTTCCACCCTGGGGGCTGCAAGCAGGGATTACCTCTGCCCCAGCAGCCGCTGCCACCCCTGCTCCCCCAGGTACTTGTCATGGGCGGCTGTGACGTGGATGTTTCTCAACGCCTCCATCCTCCTTCCAGAAAACAAGATGCTGCGGATGGAGGGGTGTGACTGGCTGGGGGCTCCTCACTGGGGAAGTCCAGCCCTTGCCTCTTTCTGATCTCAGCAGGGGATGAGAAGCGGACAGACCCTCTGAGAGCAACTGAGCTGGTAGAAGAGCCCAGTATGGACCCTCCTGGGTCCCCCAAGCCCAGTAGGCAGGAGCAGAGGGCAAGGGAGGAGGCAAGAGGGACAGACCCTTTCCCCCAGCCATGCTGCAAGGGTTTTTGGGGCAAAGGGCTTTATGCCTGGCCAGCATATTAAACAGCACCTGCTCATGCCCCGTTTGAGGCTGCATCTGCAGCAGTGGGTTGTAGCCCTCAGAGATCAACCAACAGAGATGAAGTGGTGGTTGTTGGTACCATCCTTGCCTGGCCAGGTGTGACGGATGCACTCAATCCCATAACCAAACCAGCAGTAGTTTGGTTCAGGCTCCAAAGGAGGTAAAGGCCTGAGCTGTAATCGAGGCAAGAACTTCTCTAGTTCCAATCTGTTCTCTGAAAACCCACAAAGGAGCAGAGTGACACAGTGAGCATCAACGCATATGAGCTTGAAACACCAATTGTGCGATTAGGACATGAAAAGTAGGTGGCTTTTCCAAGGATCATTTATCAAGGAGCAAAGTAACTTCTGGGTATAAGGAGTCTCACACATACCTTTCCTGTCGCATGTAATTTGTCCACAAGCCAACCACTTTATTCCATAAATATGGCAGCCTGAGTGAGCCACCTTTGAGCTCTCCCTGCTCAGCAGCCTGGCTGCATGGTGGCAACCTCCCTTGAGGTGGGACACTCTCAAGGTTGCTCCTCAAGGCAGAGATACCTTTCACCAACAGCAGATCTTTGGTAAGTGACCGATTATCACGCATAACCTTGCAGTATGGTAACTCTGATCTGTGCCTTGGTAACTTTGATTTTGTCTTGGTAAATTTCACTCTGTCTTGGTAGTTTTGAATCATCATTCAAATGATTGTGCAGCACAGTAACAGAGTGAACCTCACCATCGAACTTCGTTAAATCACACTTTTACAACATCACGTTAAAACCACTTTTGCTGATACCTTTCGCAGTGTTCCTTAGGCGATCTAAATCGCCCATTCACAACACCGGGTCACAGGAGCTGCAGGGCCAGCCCAGGGTACACCCTGCCCCCCAAACCGGTGGGAAAGGGCAGCCCCGGTGTCCGAGGAGGGGCAACGGGACAAAGGGGATGACCCAC